GGGGGGGCGACACTGTTCAGTGATTTGTAGACATACATGAGTATTTTGAACTGGATTCGAAAGTGAACCGGTAACCAGTGCAGTGAGGCCAAAACTGGTGTAATGTGCTCTCTTTTGCCTGTACTGGTTAAAAATTGGGCTGCTGCATTCTGGACCAGTTGTAGTCGTGCAATGGAGGTCTGACTGATACCAAACAGGAGCAAATTGCAGTAATCAAGCCTAGATGTAATGAATGCATGTATTACTGTCTCCAGGTGTTTTTTGGACAATATGGGCTTCAGTTTAGACAGCCACCTCAGTTGGAAGAAGCATGATTTAACAATCATCCAAAAAAGTTCAATCTGGTCCTCTGGACATTCAAAAAAACCAAAAAACAAAACAAAGCAAAAAAATCTAGAAACGTTTCATCTCTCATCCAAGAGACTTCCTCAGTCTGAGGGGCTGTTTTCAGCTCAGTCTCTTAAATAGCACCTTCTCAGGGTGGATCAACCAGTTTTGCTGCTGACAACCAAAACCAGCTGCTCACATGCTCAAGAAGGACCATCAGCCTAACAATGGATCATTAGCACACTGATGGCTGTTTACTACTCACAGAGGGCTGAGTGATACTAGCAATCACAGCATTGTAAGAGGGGGACAGTTGAACCCGGAGGCCTCCACCCCTGTTTAATGATGGACGATTTCTTTTCACAAAGATGGCCTCCTTTACTCCTCTCTCAAACCATTGTTCCTCTCTGTCCAGGATGTGAACATCTTCATCCTTGAAAGAGTGACCGCTGGCCTGGAGATGAGTGTAGACCGTAGAATCCTGGCCTGATGATGTTGATCTTCTGTGCTGGGCCTTCCTGAAAGCAGAGAAGAAACCCAAACAGGACTCCAGTCAGCCATCAGGTGAAAAGGAGGAACCCAGACCCAGACCAGTGGTCATTCCGTATGTTGAGGGAGTATCAGAGAAACTGAGACGTTTATTTTCTAAACATAACGTCCCAGTGGCTTTTAAACCCCAAAATACATTACGGCAAAGACTGGTTCATCCCAAAGATCCAGTCCCCCGGCACAAACAGAGTAATGTTGTGTATGCTGTTCAGTGTCAGGAGGGCTGTGATCAGTCTTACATCGGAGAAACTAAACAGCCACTGGCCAAAAGGATGGACCAGCACAGAAGATCAACATCATCAGGCCAGGATTCTGCGGTCTACACTCATCTCCAGGCCAGCGGTCACTCTTTCAAGGATGAAGATGTGCACATCCTGGACAGAGAGGAACGATGGTTTGAGAGAGGAGTAAAGGAGGCCATCTTTGTGAAAAGAAATCATCCAT